GCTCGCGGGCAGCGGCGAAGAAGGCAGCGCTGATGGCGTGGGCGGCGCGGCTCAGTTCGACGGCCCAGTCGGCGTTGCCCTCAGCCCCGACGGCAGCGCGCTGTTCGTGGCAGACTTCTGGAGCCACAAGATCCGGCGGGTGGAGGTGGCGACGGGCGCGGTGACGACTGTCGCAGGCAGCGGCACTGAAGGCAGCGCTGATGGCATGGGCGGCGCGGCGCAGTTCTCGCGCCCAACTGGCATCGCCGTCAGCCCCGACGGCAGCGCACTGTTCGTGGCGGACTTCGGCAGCCACAAGATCCGGCGCGTGGAGGTGGCGACGGGCGCAGTGACGACTGTCGCGGGCAGCGGCGGAGAAGGCGACGCGGATGGCGTGGGCGACGCGGCGCAGTTCGCGCACCCAGCCATTGTCGCCGTCAGCCCCGATGGCAGCACGCTTCTGGTCTGCACGGGGGCTCTCCGCCAGGTCTGCGTGGCTGCGCCTCCTCCGCCTCCCTCCTTTGCGCCGATTGTGGTGCCGCCCTCGACCTTCTTTGCCGACATGAAGAAGATGCGGGGCGACGCCTCCCTCCCGCACGGCCCGGTCACTTTCGTGGTCGGAAAGGAGGAGCAGCGCATCGAGCACGTGAGCAAGAACCTGCTCTGCGTGCGGTCCGAGTACTATGGGAAGATGTTCGGCATCGGCATGAAGGAGCGCGACGCCGCCGAGATCACGGTGCCCAAGACGGATCTCGCCAGCTTCACCGCCTTCATCGACTACCTCTGCACCGACCAGCTCGACCTCGGCGAGGGGGAGGGCGAGCAGGCGCGGCGCGCGCTCGTGCTGCGGGAGCTGGCGCAGATGTACCAGGTGCCGCGCCTCGAGCTGCTCTGCGCGCAGGCGCTGCAGGAGAGCGTCGGGCCGGCGAGCGCGGTGCCGCTGCTCGAGGCGGCGCACACGACGGGCGACGGGCGGCTCCTCGCGCAGTGCCGCCGCTTCGTGGCCGACCACGCCGCCGAGGTGCGGGCGAGCGGCGGCGTGGAGCAGTTGCGCGACCTGGGCGTGGCCAAGGGGCTGCTCGGCGACGCGCTCGACCAGGTGGCGGAGCTGAAGATGGGGGCGGCGCGCACGGCCGCGGGCCAGAGGGCGGCGCCCGCCTAGTGTCTGGTTTGCGTGATCATCGCCCTGAGGCGGCCTCGCCTCTCCGCACTCCACGGCCCTTTGTGGCTTGTGGTGTGGGCGCGCTTGGCAGGGTCGTGTTCACCACATCGCGCTTCACATCGGACTTCTCTGCCTCTGGTTCTCATTCACATTCTGCCCGGCATGCAGGAAAGGGGCGTCTGCAGTCTACGTTGGCAGATTTGTACTAGGGGGTGTAACAGACAACACGGAGTATCAACAAACGACGATGTGTTTCCCGTCGGCCCTCTCTCGAGGGTCGGACTCCCCCCGCTCTTTTTTCCTAAGTCTTTTGTGTATGTCGGGCCTCTCACGGACGCGCGGCGCGCTCTCCACCTCCACGACTCGAGCTTTGCGGACTGGTTGGGTAGTAGTCTAAGTTCTGAGCCTCGAGGCTGAACGGGTCTAAGTGTGGCTAGCCACGCTGGAGTGCTTGCGCGGTCTAAGATCAGCGGGAGCCTCTTACATCGGCTAAGTCGGCCGTGGCACGGCCTGGGGCCAGGAGGCTCCTCCACCGTGATCAACGATACGGCGCAGCCCCCAAATTTTCTTCGCCTGCGGAGGGCGATGGATCCTCTTCATGCTTAGCAATCGCCGCCTCAGCATCCTCCTCTTCCGACTTTCGTTGCTGCTCCTTCATTCTTGAGCGACGTCTAGCCAAACAGTTCTCACATGACACGAAGCTCCTCAAGCTTAATCAAACGTGTGACGGTGAAGGCGTGAAGCCTGTGTGTGCTGGTCCTCTTTGAACGATCCGCGCGTGAGGTAGCATAGGGCCTTGTTGGCAGCAGCCAGCTTGTTGCGCTGCTTCGTTGCGATGAGCTGATTGGGATCGCAGAAGTGCATGCCAAGCACCGCCACGATCTTGAAGCAGAACACATCGCAACCGCATCGTCCGCACTGCCATCGGCATGCCGCGCCCGCCGCTTCGCCGCAGCCGCCTTAAGGCACGCATAGCGGCAGCACATGGTACGGTGCGCGTACTTGAGCAGGCGTTGCGCGCCGTGAGTAGCGCACTGGCCCTGGGAGAAGGCGATATGGCGTCGTGCGCGGCATACGTTGGTCGGACGCGTCCAGGTATTTCGGGTAAACCTGGAGGCTTTTCAGGTATACCCGGGTTTTGCCCGGAGTGGCCTTATGTCGTCTAAGTTCATGGCCCCCGACCATACAGCGTCTAAGTCTGAGCCCGGCTCGGTGCGGGGGCTAAGTTGAGCGCTCGCTCGCTGCAGAGGCTAAGTGTAGAGCGACCCTCTAGCCCTACTACCCAACCATTCTTTGCGGCCGCGGGCCGGCGGTCAGATGATGTGGAAGCCCCTCATCCGTGTCCGAGACCGCCTTGAGAGGAGCTGCGCCTTGAGCTTGGACTTTGTCGTGTACTCGGGCAGCAGCAGGTGGTTGAAGCAGGTGACTAGTCAGGTGTGAGTCGCCGACTGGAGTCGCTCCTCGTCGGAGCCGTTGCGCGAGATGACGAAGGAGAGGTTGCCGAGCCCCTTGATTGGCACCCGGTCCGAGCCGGTGCAAAAGAAGAGGAACTTCTTCTTCATCTCGAGCGGCAGCTCGTGGATCACCTCCCACAGCAGCGCGATGCACGGGCTGTCACAGGAGAAGCCGTCGTCGTACTGCGTCACCCGCTCCAGCGCCTCGAAGTCGAGATTTGGCGAGCCGCACAGCAGCAGCTCGAGCTCCTCCCACCGGAAGAGCTGGATCGCCTATATGGGGAGGTGCGGGGAGGTGTGGGGAGATGCGGGGAGGTGTGGGGAGATGCGGTGAGATGTGGTGAGATGTGGGGAGATGTGGGGAGATGTGGGGAGATGGGAGATATATATGG